CTTTGGAGATCTTTAAAACCCGCTTGGATGCAGCCCTGTGCCACGTGCTCTAGGTGACCCTGTGTGAGCAGGGGGGTTGGACTCGATGACCTCTGAGGTCCCTTCCAACCTTCGGCATTCTATGATTCTATGATTCTATGCTATTAGACTGCAAAACAAGGACTTTACCCCATAATACACGTCTTGTAACACTAGGAAGCATGAGGAAAACTTAAGGCTTGAGTGGCATTACACTGTTTGCTCTGTGTGTGTGGGGAGGAGTGTTTTGCTCACATATTTGCTAGAAAAAAAAAAAGGAGGGAAAAAACCCAACATTATGAGATTACAACTTCACAAACAAAACCTCTTGCCGCGGATAACAGAAGCGTGAGGTTCTGCCTTTGGGAGAAGCAGCGGAGAAGACCCTCAGCAGGCAGCAGGAGCACGCTCCTGACGGGAGACCCCGTTATATAACGAGCCCTGGAGAAAAACCCTCCTGCTCCTGCTCCTGCTCCCTGCCCCTCCTCGCTCCCCGCTCCTCCCAGCGCCCGAGGARCCTCTCGGGGCGGGGCCGCTGGGAGCGGCCATTTCCCGCCCCGCGCATGCGCACACCCCCGCGCAGTGGGAAGGCGGGGCCGAGCCGGAAGAGCCCCTCCCTCTCTATCTCCCCCCCCCGCCCTCGCCTCTATGGTTGCCGCGTGCCTCGGTAGCCATGGCCGCCGCGCCGATCACGCGGCGCGCGAGGCRCCGCCCCGCTGCATCCCGTGAGCCTCCGCGCGCGGCCTGCGGGGCGGTTGCGCGGGCGCCGCGGCGGCTCCAGAAGTTTCCCGGGGGGCGTCATGGCGGCGGCGGCCCCGCGGTGAGCGCCCCTTCCCCCTGCCCTCCCCGCCGCGTCCCGCGCGGCCCCTACCGCCCTCTCACGCCCTTGCGCTTCCTCGGCAGGTTCTCGGACGCGGACATCGACCGGGAGCCGGCGGCGGCGGCGCAGGTGAGCGCGGGGGGCGGCGGCACCGGACCGGACCGGGCCGGGCCGGGAAGGGGGGCGCCTCGGGCCGCCCTCGGTGCCGCCTGGAAGCGCCGGGACTGCCCGGGCCTCGCACCCGGCCCGTGGCGGGGACTGAGGGTGTCTGAGCGGGCCAGCGCGCCTGCTGCTCGGCAAAAGAACAACAGCAAAAAATAAATAAATAAATGGTAAAAACGAACTTTTCTTTGCCTGCTGTTCCCTATAGGGAGGCTGTATGTAGGTAAGTTTAGGTTTTTGGTGGAAACATCGTAATCTAGTTACTGGAAGAAGACATTTGATCAGTTTTTATTGTGTTGTCATCACTCTTGTTTTCTTCCTCTCTTTTTTTTTTTAATATTCTGCACACTCATTAGGGTCAGTGTGTGTTCACACGTCCTTCCTTACTGAAAGGGAAAAGTTAGGAAGAAGCTGGAG